GCTTCCACACTATCTTCTAGTGAGTGAGGGAGGGATCCCGGCCGGCCCACCCCTCAGCGGCCTGCCCGCTGCGAGCCGCCCTTAGCGGCACCGGGTCCGGCCGCTCTTTCGCGCCCCTTTGCCCATGCCTCGCCTCAGGGAGCCCGTCTTCCCCCTCCCAAAGCCCGCGGTTCCCTGCTGCTGAGCTTGCTCCTTGGTAGCGCGGGGGACCTTGAAGGGGGGTGTTGGTGAGCCGTGTTTCCTTTCAGGCGTAGCTTTTGGAAAGAAGTTTGACTGCGTGGTGTGTAGGTAAATAGTAATGAAGCGTGGATCCCTGTGTAATACTGAAAACCAGTTATTAGTTCAACTTTTTTGTTACATTAGTAATGGGCGTAATTTGAACAGTGATTCTTCAGGGATTTGATGCAATGCTTGTGATAGGAGGTTGAAAATATGGTTGGAGGGTATTTCATTTTTCACTTTACATCTAATTTAATACAAGGAATTACATGTGGTGTTGTGTGAGAGCTTAAGGTCTCGCCATCTTTGAAGGCTTCCCAGAACTTGAGCCCTGTGGTAATATATTTTAAAATACTTAAAACTTATTTCTGCATTATGGATTTTCTAAAGCCTGCACTTTCATAGTTACTTGCTTTAACGTGCTTCGTTTTTTGTTTACTTTAGTGGTAGAATAAGAGCTTTGGAGAGGAATAAGCTCACAAAGAAGACTTTAGAACTGGCACAGCAGTACTTCTTGCCTCCATATGCTTTCCAGATTCGAGTTGGTGCTCTGTACCTTTTGTATGGGCTCTATAGTACACAGCTTTGCCAGCCAAAACAAAAGGTAATTGTTCTTGAGGTTTTATTCTCAGGAGGTACTAAATGTAAGATACATGGTGTAACTCTGTCTGCTTTGTCATTGTAAGTGGGTAGGGTGTTTTCTCTCACTATCTTACAAAAAAAAATTGGAAACAGAATGTCCCTTTTTGGAGAAGGTAGTCTTTCAAACACCTTTGGGTTTGAGAACTTGCATGGTCATGACTAAACTATTGCATATGCCTCCTGAATTGTAGCCATGATCTCAAAAATGTTGTTTGCCAGATAGGAAACCCTTCTCTGTTAAAAAATGAAGATGAGTTTTCAAAATGGGAACAGAAAATGTGATCATCAGCTCTGTAGAGGACTCCATTACAGGACCAGTTATTCCTTAGAGCTTCAACAGAATGAAGACTGGCTGAATTATTTCCAGTTCCAGTTCCATTCCAGAAATGGAATTCGTAAATAGGTTGAAAGGATGAATGCTTGAACGACATGTCTCCTTGCTGCTTCTAGCACAGGAGACCAGTATCTAAAGGAATTGGAAACTCAGTGTCAGGAGAAGTGGTTTACTTGGGAACGGTGTGATATGTTCTGTGCCTATGCATAATTGAGTCCAAATTCTTTAAATAAGGAACTGGAGTTTAAGTATTCTACAATGATGCCGTTATATCTTGTATCTTAACTTCAAAGAAGTCAGTACCTTTTATGGAGATGAATTTAGGGAATTTTATAACTACTGCTATGTAGCAACTGATAGAGAATCCAGGAATTATCACAGAAGCTAACTTAGGTAGAGAGGAAATGAAGTGGGCAGAGTACATGGGAGAAGAAGGAAGAAGGCAGAGATACTTTTACAAGCATGTCACATGGCAGCAAATCATGGTATGAGTATTATTTCCTAATCATCTGGTGGGTGAGTCTCCTAGGTGTGTTGTTTCAGGCATCCTGGAATGTGAAGAATTAACTTTTTCAGATGTCAAAGAGGATTTGTGTTCCAGGTCACTGTAAAAGAAAGCAACTGCAGTGAGATTATTTAACACAACGGTACAATAAGCTTATCTGCATAAAATTTTGGTAGTAGTAACAAATGTTGTAGTAGGATCCTTTCTGTAGTTCTGTGATCGTGTGACATGTTGCACCCTAGACATCAGAGTACTGCACATGGTACAGCGTGATCACGGTGGTCAGCTGAATTCTTTTTTATTTGTTGAAATATGCGGGTCGGTATGACAATATACAGCTGTGTTGTTGCAGATCAGAATTGCGCTCAAGGATTGGCCTGAAATCCAGAGGTTTCAACAGGATCTGATAGACTCCCAGCATTACGATGCAGCGTACATCTTTAGGACGCTGCGACTTGCCAGAGCATTCCATTTCACAGCAATGCCAAAGCTGGTGAGTGAATACATTAATGACTTACCGTTTTTAATAAAATACCTTCAGCCTTCAATGACTGGCAGTTCAACAGCACTTGTGTTTAGTTTAGCCTTGAGGTTGTGTTGAAATGTCATACGTCTTGCTTTATGTAGCTGGGTATGTGACGTAAAGCTTAGAGCATGTTTGAATGTGGCGTGATTCTCACCTGAAAGTATTTTTTCAGTATCTAATGTTCTTATTAGGTTTGAGATACCTTATAATTTGTGGAAATGTCCAACTCTTGAATCTGGGTGCTGGATTATATTCTTGGCGAGGGAATAATTTTTGAAAAGTGCTGACTGAACACTTGACAGTAAGGCTGCATGCTATTGCTGATGGGATGGGTTTATGCCTTTCAGCATCTCTTCATGGTTGGATATGCAGTAAGAATTTTCAAGAGAAGGTGCTGTTTTAAGTTTGCTTTTAGATTACAAAGTGTTGTCTCTTGCTTTAGCTAAACTACCGAACTAAGAAGAAGATTGAGGAAAATGAGTTTAAAGAAGAATTTAAGGACCCAAGTAACAGAGTAAACACCCTCATCACTAATGATGTGTTGGAGGTACAGTAACTTTTAAACTACAGATTAATCACTGTTCGTTTTGTTTTGTTTTTCTTCTTCAGTTGTCCAAGGGCTCTAACTTACCTAATTAGCCCAGTCTTGTCCTTTGTAAGTCTTCTTGTGGAATGCAGACTAGGGCAATAGTCCGTGCCAGCGATTTACCGAACACTCAGAAACGTGGCATTTATTTTGGAAGAATTGTGATGCCTTTTTCAATACTGAAGTATACTCTAATGTTTTCTGGTTTTGCCTCAGTAAGATGTAAAAGGGGAAGAGTATAAATGGTTAATTGTCACTTAGAGAAAAATGGAAAATGGCGGGTGAGGGGAAGTCTGTTTTGATATGTCTGCAGCTTGCAGCTGGATGCTTAATACTTGTAGTATGAATTTACTTACCTGCAAGTTTGTAGCCTTCTCCAACCTTTATTTCTCCTTTTAAAACTTGATTTTGTTTGGTATAGAATATATTTTATAAAAAATGGAGTAATTTAAGCTGGGTATAGGTTCTTATATTGCTCATTATGACTTAGTAATAGATCTTTGTTTGCAGGTTTTTCCAGTTGCTGCTAGGAAATATGTATCGTTAGTAAGGTTGACTACAGTGGTACAAAAATCAGTAATCTGTGAAATGGCAGGGTGAGAAGACCTGCTTCCTCAAAAGGAGGGACTAAAATGCTTTCTCCAAAGATGAAAATTGACCACCATATCAGAATGAGACCTCTGTGAAGACTGATCCTGAGTATCGCTGAGGAAGAAGGCACTTTCTTCTTGGCTTAAATAATGCAAGACACTTTCTTCTTTTGCTTATTTGGTGGACTGGTGGGACAGTGCTAGGCAGCAGTATTGCTAGGCTCCCTAAAACTGAACTGATCTAAACAGAATCCGTTTCTAACGCTTCTGCTAGTTCCATGGGTCTTCTCAGAGTTGTTTGTATAACCCAGTTTTGTTCATTGAAGACTAATATTGCTGTACTGCTGGAATTTTTTTTTTTTTTTAAATTCCTGAAAAGAGTGTCTTTTTTATTTTAGGAACTGATGAATATTCATGAGCACTATCAGAAAATGAAGTGTGTCATTTCGGCTGACAAATCCCAGCCAGACAAGGCGCTGAGCTTGATAAAAGATGAATTTGTAGTTACTCTTAAAGACATAACCTTGGAACATCAGGAATGGCAGCAGAACAGAATGGTAGGTAATACCAACCATTGTGCTGTGGCAACTTAACAGGTTGTGTGAACATGTAAGAACTGTCTGTCTTAGTGTAATTACTTCTGAACATACTTTGTAAATCTCAGACTTAAGTAGAAAGAACTGTAGAGGTAAGCCCTGTGTGGCTTATGGGCAGTATTATAATAACCATATGAAGTACCTCTGTAACACTTTTTCTTGGATCAAGGAGAGGCCATAGTGTAAGACTGATGAAGAAAATGAGCATCTGTGTAAATATTCCTCTTGTTTTTCACAATTCCTGGATTTTAGCTGCCGTGTATATGACAGACATGTAAAAAATTTTTTTTTTTTCCCAGAAATTATTCCTAAATGCTAAAGAACCTGATGAAGTATCAAGCAAAAAGGAGGAAGGGACTTTGATAGAATCAGAGGTAAGAAAAATGAATGGTTTGCTACCTTGTGCAGGCTAAATCTGTTAGTCTTTTTTGACTTCAGATCACAGGGTAAGAAGTGCATGTCAGGGCTCAATAGTGTCAAAGTAAGTTCCAGGGTTAGCTAGTGGGGCTGGTTGGTATTTCTTGTTTGGTTGATTGGTTTGGGTTTTAAATCACATTGTTTTTTGTTAAGCTGTGAGCATTCGCTGCTATGACAGCTCTTAGATGCTTGTAGTCAAAGTCGTTTTCAGGTAAGGAGGGGAAAGAGCCGTATTTCCTTGGCTCGGCTCCTTTATGGCTCCTCCTGGAGTTTCAATTAAATGCAATATCCATTTTTTATGCTACCCAGTTATCTCATGTTGTACTTACCTGCTTATTTCAGGTTTGAATTTGAGTAAGATGTGATGTTGGAAACGTTATTTTCTCCTGGGCTTTGTAACAAAATTATGCTCTGCCTTTTTAATGAAATTTGAATTTTTATTATTTTTTTAAGTAACAGTCTGGTGGCATTCTAATTATAGAACTAATTATAGAACTAATTATCTGCCCCGCTGTATAGTGAAATACTGCTCAAATGATTGTCTGATGTGATACTTCACTTCAGTACTGTTACGTGAAAACTTTTTCTGACTGGTCTCTTGTTCGTTTGCAGGGCTCTGAAAGAGCAAGTGCATTGGCTAGAATCAAATACAAGTCTTACTCTGCAGTTGTTGAGGTAGGTGTAAAATGTGATGATAGGGATGTATTTGTTTTTAAAGTACCAGTGTAATATAAATGCTGGGTCAGAAAGGAATGAGTTAAAATTGCACTCTGTAATTCAACCTTTTAACGTTCTATTTTCCTAACGTATTGGGGAAACCTGAAGCTTTTATTTTTCTTCTTAGATTTATGGAAACAGGGCAGATATGGACTATATTTGGGGGATTTTCATTTACAAGGTATCTTTTAATGTCTACGCTCCATTTAAGTAGATGGAATAAAAATACTTGCGAATTTAATTGCTCAAATTCCTTGAAGCTTAGATGCTGGAATCTCTGAAGATGCTTGCGGAAATGGAACTTGGGGGTTTAAAGTCAGTTGGAAGTTCTTGGAAACATTGTTTCAATAACTGCTACCTTAAAAATAACAGTGATTTGGGTGTTTCATAGCAGGCCTGTGAGAAACAGCACAACTTTCCTTGCTTATTAAAATCTCTTATTGAAAAATGCATTATTAAATGAAACGGAGCTCTGGAACGTGTAACAGTCCAGACTTGTGAATATGCAGTGATAATGTTTTCTAGGCACCTAAGCAAAATATGTCAGTAAGGACCTTTATGGTGCAGCAGTTTTTGGAAGTGTTCCTTTTGCTTGCACACAGCGGTGTGCAACGTGGTGTAGGTTGATGCCAACAGAGAATGGTTTGAAAATAAACAAATGTTTTGTTACCTGAATTTTAAGTGATACACCTATTAAATCATAGAAGGGTGTTCTCCTGTTAAAACCAAGAACAGGGAGTAGTGGGAATCTTTCCCCCCTCCCTCCCCTTCCGTCCCTTCACTGCCCTGACATGGAAGTTGATGCTTTGGTCCTTGCTGCCTTGTAAAGTACTGGGTGACACACCGTAATATCTGTCTGTAGAAGTTCAGCTTTTTTATATCATTCGTATGTATGTTTGGGTTCTAGGCTTCCAAATCCAGAAGACACCGTCAAGTGAAATTAGAATCTTCTGAATCAGGATTGAATTTGGGGAAATCTCCAACTCAAAGTAAAAAAAACAGTAGGAGTCCACAGTCAGCAAGGAGAGATTCTTTGGCAATCAAAGGTATTTCTCCATTGCATTTGTGCACCTGGAGAGACTGCAAAAGTTTATCCATTGCTTTGCTAGCTGAGGCAGCTGAGTTAAATTTTGATATTGATCAGTGGAGGCAGAAAATTAAAGAAATGTTTTGTGATACCGGTATTGTAATTGAACCTTTTTGTCTGTTTTTCCATGGTCTGGTCAGGTAGAAAGGCAACATGAATGCATGCAGTTTATTGTTAGTCTGAAGTCTCACGCATAGTCCTGCTAATTCTTCTCTGGAAAGGCATGACCTTGGAAAAGCGCATACTGTGTGGCAGCATCTTAATTTTTCCTGTTGCTGTATAACAAATGTACTGGGGATTAAGATACGTATCTTAACTGTTTCTTCATCTGACAGATGCTTCTAATTTTGAAGCAATTTTTTTGATGAAAATCAGCCTATCTGATAATTTCTTCATGAAATCCAAAGTGAACCTTGCCTGTTTCTATTCTGTCCTCCCTGAGGAGGAAGGAGCAGTGGAGACACTTTGTGCCGGACGGACTGTGACCCCCATTCCCTGCCCCGCTGTGCTGCTGCAGAGCTGAGCCCGGGAAGACCGGAGGGGTCGGGTGCGGGGGGGGGAAGGTGTGTTGTACTTAAGACCTGGTTGTAGCTCTCATTATCCTTGATGGGGGTGGTTGTTTGTATTAAATTGATGTTGTCATCCCCAAGTTGAGTTTATCTTTTGCCTGTGACTGTAACTGGTAAGTGAGCCCTCCCTGTCCTTTGTCTTGATCCTCAAGCCTTTTTGGTTGTATTTTCTCTTCCCCATCCCTCAGGGGATGGGGCAGGGGTGAGCAAGCTGGGTAGGCTCAAACCACGATCCCTCTTCAGCAGTGAGCGTTAGGCAATGTTGCCTTTGCTTTACTTTAAAGCGGTAGATAAAGGCATTTTGAATTATCTCTGGATTGAGTTGGCTATTAATATGCTTTAAACTTGTGTTAATTACTCGTTGCTGAAGGTTTCTTTGGTGAGCCATGTGAAGGTTCTGTGAAACATAAGGGCTTCTCTACAGCTTTTGACTAGAAAGTCAAGAGAGCAGCAAGTGAACAGTCTTAGCTGCTGGACCTGTGATGTAGAAGCAAGAAAAAGCTGACAGTTTTTCCTAAAACCTGTCTGCAGGTGAAATGCCAGTGGCAAAGGAAGCTGTTACTCGGCATATTGGGATGCCTGTTATTGCAGAGGAAGAGAACTCGGATGAAGAAGGTAAAATGATTGAAGTTCTAACAGACTGGTGACTTGTTTTTTAACAGCTCTCTACTGTGCTGTATTTTTCTGGAGCTAAAGTTGGTGGTTTGGACCATGTATTGCTGCCTTGCAAAAGCTAGATGAGTTTTTAGCCTGTAAATTGTTGCATGAAAATTGAAGCTTTGATTTGAGACTTTATGAGCACACACATGGTGGCAAAAATCCTGAGAAGTACAGTTTTCAATGTAGATTTCATTATAGTGTGTTTAGAATTAAGACTGGTCCGGTTAAAAAGAAAATTACTCTTCTGTAATGCAAATCTGTCTTGAAGAGTTCCAATGTGTAAGGAAAAGTGGGCTTTTTGGTCATTCTCCCACTTACAGAGGATACCTGTTCTAGTAGCTCTGGGAACTTATGTAACCTGGGCTCGAGGTCAGAATAGTCCTTGCTGCCTTCACCTTTGTGGAAGTGAGGGGACACAGAAGTTTTCCCTCTAGTCTTGGTTTCAGGTGGGCAGTACTTCAGGGATTAAGTTCCAGTAATCATGTACAGTAGTAGTGTCCGCTGCTCTATTAGAAGCTGTCCGACGTAGTTGGGGTAGGATTCTGGGAACCGCAGCAGCAGAGTGGATGACTTTGCTATCACTCGTGTTACTGGAAATAATGTCATTTTTATTTGGAAGCGATGGTAAAGCAGGTTTGTCAAAGCTGATGGTGGAGTTGCTTGACAGAAGCAACAAACACGCGTAGTACAAATTGAGACGTTAGAAGATCTTGAGCTGTTCTGCAACTCAGAACCTTCAAGGTCTGTTCTTAGTGTTGCTTGAGGTGAATATAAGCCCCATGGAACAGACACTGTACAAAGAAAATTGCATCCTCTTTATGTTGAGGTACCTCCTTTGGCGCTGCTCTGGGTAGAGCCCAGGGTGCTGGTTTGCTGCCGTGTCTCAAACACGCGCAGTGGTCCTGGGAGAGGAGCTGGCCAGCGAAAGGCCTGAGTTCTGCTGGCACTTCTCGCTAGTCTAAGACATGGGTCTTGCTTACGTAGTGGGAGGCAGACTTGATAGACCAGAGGAACTGGTTCTTAACCTGAAAGAGCAGGATTTATTGAGGCTGCTTAAAAGGGGGAGCAAAGGGTTATGTAGAACTTCTGGAAAGCTTTAATGACATAGGTGAGTGTGAGGAGTATATCTTTTGGAGTTAATTTACTGTCCAAAACTGTATGTAATGGAAGGATATTTCATACAAAGGAGCATAACTATTAAAATACATTTGTAGTGACACAGCACACTTATATTTGCTCTTTTTAAAAGCAGAAGAGCATCTTGTACTGAAATGAGATTACATTCTCTGATCACCTTAGTTGTAGACAACGTGAATTCATTCAGTTTTTAAATGGTCAGATTGAAGGCACAATGGTGCATTTAATACTGTACTTTATTTAGTTACTTTTCCTTCAAGTTGTTGTGGACAAAAAGTTTCTTTCTAAATTAGGGATATTCTTTATTTCTCAGAATTTGCCAGCAAATTCTGAAGCACTAAAAATACCCATAAGCAATGTCTTCAGGTATTTTATGCTTAATTTTGTGAGTATTCCATTTATCAAGTTCACAATGAAATCTTAGAGGTGTTCATGAGGAGCATAAAGCTCTTAAGATTGAATAAGTTTCGAAGCACAGTATTTTGTTCATCAATGGGATTTTAATTGCTGTTTTGAATGATAGTGTGCTGTAGAATCTAGAAAGATTTTTTTTCATGTTTAAAACTATGGGGAGAGGGATTGGGGGGCATCTCAAGAGCTCATCTAATTCACTTCCTTTGCTGGCCAGAATGAATTCTACTTCAGTCATTCCCATGAGGGAAGGTAGATTGAAAAGCTTGTCAGAAAAATCTCTTTTATTTCCTTTCAGAAGTAACTCCCCCTAAGAGGAAAAGAAGATGTTAGAGGATCCGGTTGGAGACCACTTCGTTACTTTTAATGACAAAATGTAAAATTCGAAGGTAACACGAAGTGCTTGCGTTGGATGCTTTTGAATGTACAACAAGAAATGTCTGGGACCAGAACTACAGGTGATGCTGGAATACTGGTAGTGACTGGTATACCTTAGCTGTCCCATGGTACAGCACCTGGTGCCTTTATTCAACTGGCGAATGCTTCTTGTGGAAGACAAAGTTGCTTTGCCCTGTTTGAGATGGAAAGGGAAGGTGGTTGCTAGTTGTATTTAGCTTGTACAATGTGAGAGGTTGTTTGGAACTCGTGTTGATCTGCAGTGATGGTTTTAGCCGAGGCTGTTAAAAGCTCACAAACTATTTGCCCACATGAGACATGTTTGCAATCTTTTTTATCTCTGATCATAAAATTAAGGTTGCTGAGTGTTGAAAATTAGTACAATAAATTATTTTTCACAGTCTACTTGCTCCATGTTATAGCATCTAACTTCAGCAATGTTTGTCGTGGTTTGATCCCATAGGTGTGGGAAATCATGACAAACCTTCTATTGTATTCTGTTCCATCAAGTCTGGAATCATTGTATATTCAAATGAAGATATGTAAACTGTAATTCTGCAGATGACCCTAAGCTATACAAGGGCAGGACTGGAATTCAAAATTATCTTTATAAATTTGAGAGGAGTGAAAGAAGTGGGTGTGGAAATAAGCATGAAGCTCAGCACAGAGAACAGGATGGGAAGATGATTGCTAGGCAACAGTACTGCAGAAAAAGCAAACAGTCTGAGAATCAGAAGCTGGTGTATTTTCTGTAAACAAAAACAAGCACTAGAATTCGTGTAGTTCAGCCCTGAAAGGCTATAGCCTCAAATACCCCCATCTGACCACAACGATTCCAGAAGAATGTGGGTAGTTTCATAGCCGTGCTATTGGGAGAGGCCAAAGGAGTTGAGGTCTCCTCTCCTACAAGAAGAAATATTAAATAGAAATTTGAAATATTTTGAATATAAAAGGGACCTAAAGTGAGTGAATTAGTTTGGTAGTATGACTGTCAAAGGCCAAAGGAATTGAAGTGCCCTTACCTAGGAGAAAAAACCCTAAGTGGAAATAGAAATGGTTTGACTATAAATGAGGCCTGTATTAAATGCTTGGTAGGGAGGAACGGGCCTCAGTGTCAAATAGGTTGGATGTTAGAAAAATTAATAATTAAGCACCACTGTTGCACTCAACCTTGTTAATGGGAAAAGAGGAAACACTTTATAATAAAGACAAAACCTTACTGTATAGTAAACTGAACAATGGAATATTCAATTGAATAACCAAAATCTTTACAGTCTAATCCAAAAGTCATTATTAGTCCAAATGTAATTATTACAGAAAAAAAAAATCTCTATAGTGGTAATAATACTGTGAAATTTATCATATGTGCACTTAATTTCTACCCTTTTTCCTGGTTTAATGTTCACTCTTGCACTGGCTTCAGGTCCTAAGGTTGTTTGGCTTAGTCTGTGAATAGAACGTGCCATAGATGCAGCCTGTCTAAAAAGACTCAGGTGCAGTTACAAAGGTTTTAGAGCTATCATTTCTGTAAATTTTCAGCAGTTTGGTTTTAATTGGGTTTTCTGACAGTAATGATGCTTGAGCTTTTCTGTTACCAGCACAAACTCATTCTGCCTCTGCATTTCTGCTCCTAATTTTTGGCGAGCAGATACAAGAGACATGAAGAGGCCTCTTAAGGAAAACTTAAGGAGACTTTTTTTTTGGTCAGTATTTTCTGCTCATCTTAATGCAGTTAGGATCGTGTTGGTGATACTGCATTTGTCAGTTCTGTCAATTCCAGTCGCTGCTTTGGGTGGTGGGTGTGCAGGCTGCTGGAGCAGCTTTCTGGTACCCTGACATTGCAGGGGCTGGATAGCAGTGTAGGTGTCATAGGGGAGCCATTTGGAGATGTGGTGCAGTGGTGTAGTTGAATCTCTTCTTGGGAAGCCCCTGGGTGGCTAAGAAAGATTTAGATGAAGGAGGGTTCTTTCTGGCAGATACTGGACTACAGCTTCAAATTCGTTGTTATGAGTTCCTTCACTTAGGAAGTTTCTTAAGGAGGAACTTCACAGCACCAATCCTTTTCTGCTGTTTGTAGGCACTGCCGTTAAGCTGAGTCTTCCAGCTACGTGGTGTTGGGTTCTTCCCTTGAAGGGAAACTTGAAAGTGACTTCTCTTTTTCCTGTTTCCCTCCAACTTGCAGGTATCTTTCTCAAGGAAGCTGAAGATTAAACAGTTACAAAAGCTAATTTTTAATTTTCTTGACAGACTATTTTCAGTTCAATTATTGTTCCATATATATGGCATTAATTTATTTTAACATAGTTAAGGAGTATATTTAATACTGTTCCCTGCAGTGGTACGTTTTCATAATGTGACCATCTTGTTTGCCTCTCCTTGTATCTTGAACCATCCCAATAGCTGAGTACGAGAATTTTTCAGAATTTTTGCTATTCAGTGGCATGAGACTTCCCTGCACACACTTCTGAAAATGATTTCCAGATGAACATCAGAAGCATGGAAAGGCTTGACTAGGCACGAAGATTGCTGCATTCAACTAGCAGTTATTTTAGTACTGTAATTATGAAAACAACTGTTCTTTAATTTGTTTATAAAATTATGTAGATGTAAAATACAATTTGTGCTTAAGGATAGACTTAGAACTGTTGACTATATGCAGTGGTAATATTTCAAAACAGTAATCCTGAGAATTTAGAGGCAGCTGTAAGCAAAGTTTCACAATGCTGGTGTAATCTTTTTTTTAAAAAAAAAAAATAAAAAAATCCCTTGATGCAGTCTGATGGGCAATTACAGCCTTTTAAAAACAGGAGAGGGACTTACTAAAATGCTTTGTTGAAGCAAGCAGTTGTCATTAAAAAAACCCCAACCTACCCCCCTGCCAACAACAGTAAATCTAGACTTCCAAGAGTATTGTTTTCTAGTATCTAAGTTCTCTCCTGGTTATAGCCTCGGCTGATACAGCAGTCAAAGGCTGCAAGGAAACTTCATCCCAAATGCCAGTCTAACTTCCA